TGTTTGCAGAGCCCAGGCCTTCCCTCAGCTACCCTCCATCCCCCACTTCCCTACCCCCGCCCCCAGACTGCAGTGGGGGCGTCAGGGACTCTACAAGCTCCACCCCTAGGGGCCCTCCCCCTCCCAATAGGCTGCAGTGCAAAGATCCTGGAGGGGCGCATTCTTTACTCCCCCTAGGTCAGAGCTGGGGTCTGGCAAGGACTCTTGCTCAGCGGTAGTCACTCTCCCTCCCTTGCCCAGCTCAGGACAGACCACTGTGGGGACCGGGCCCTCTGTGCCCTCAGCTAGCCCTTCCCCCTGTAATGACCCTTTGCCCTCTCTGGGCTATTGCTGCCTTTGGCCTGGATCACACCCAGGACCGTGTTTGGAGCTGGAGTCTGGCAGCTCCGGGAGGGAGGTGTTCAAGAAGGAAGAGGGAAGGAGGAAGGAGAGACGGACAGGGAGGCAATTTCTGTCCAGGAGTGGTGGCCATTCACACTCTGACCTGCACTGGACGACAGCCAGGCCTGGCTCCCTGCAATCGGGACCCCAGCATGCTGTCTCCTGAGGGCCTGACGATTCCACGTGTTTGTAAAAGCACTTTTCACGTCATCGCTTCTCCGAGCCTCCATTTCTTCATCTAAAAAGGAGGCCCTCAGGGGCCTCGCTGGGCGCCATGCCCTTCACACAGCAGTTACTCCACCAGGAGGGCACTGCCGTGGCAGGCACCAAGGGCAGAAGGACAGCACAGACATGCCAAGCCCTACGAAGGCCAGCTACAGAGTAGCCTCATAGTCGGCTGTACACCAGATGTCAAGCTGGCACACAGGGAACCCTTTGACCCCCATGCCAAGGAGGGGACCCTAGGTCTGCCGAGGAAGCCAAGGAAAGCAGTGAGGAAAGAGCTGGGCCTGGAGGTGGTGGCTGCTATGAGCAATGTATGTGAGGGCTGTGAGGGATTAGGTGGTCCCCAGGGCTGCAAACTTAAGCTCTGGACAGAGGGTCCTGGGTTCAAATTCCATCTCCACCATTATCTTTTTTAAAAAATATATTTTTATTGATTTCAGAGAGGAAGGGAGAGGGAGAAAGAGATAGAAACATCAATAATAAGAGAGAACCATTGATGGGCTGCCTCCTGCACCCCCTATACTGGCGATCAAGCCACAACCCGTGCATGTGCCCTTGAAGGGAATTAACCCGCTGGCAGACGCTCTATCCACGGCGCCAAACCGGCAAGGGCATCTCCTCCACCATTTTCTTGAGTGAGTTTCTGCCCAGCCTGCCTGGGCTCCTCCGTGGAACATGGGGACACTCTACAGAGACAGACTCCCCAGAGGAGGTGCAGGACACCCAGAAAGGCCTAGGCAAGGGGATGGAGAGCAGGCCCAAGTGGCCAGAGGACACGGGGGAGTGGCTCAAAGGGGCAAAGAGGTTTGTGGACCCGCACCCACAGCCAGCTGCTACACATTTCTCAGGTGGGGTGGAGCTGCTACACCAAGGGATCAGCCTGGCAGAGTGACCTTGACCAGTACTGGCCCGTCTTTGTGGGACCTCGGGCCTAGACAGGCTCCCGGTCTCTGCCCCTGTCCTAGCCAGCCTGTCAACATGGCAGCCAAGCTCCCTGGGTCCACAGCATCACGAGGCTCCCCAGGCTCCAGGACCCTGTCACCCCTCTGCCTCCTCCCCTGCCTCTTCATCTCTCACCCAGTAGCAGTCCGCTCCAGGGCTGGTCTGTCTGACACCCTGTGAGGCCCCAGTGCGGCATGAAGAAGAGTGTCTGTAAAGTCTCCATTGCCCTTCACACCTCAGAGTTCTGGGAGCCTGTCCACAGGGCGACCTGTACAACGGGAAGTCGTTTTGTGAGCAGAACCCAGCATCAAGAGCTGTGCAGGCTGTCGCCTGCAGGGGACCCGCTGAGACCAGGGGTCACACCCACTGCATGCCGGGAGCATGGGCACTGCCACCGCGATGCTCCAAAAGCTGGGACAGGAACTGAACTAACAACTCTACCGGCTCTTTAAACTGTAGGGCACCTTGGGGCAGCATGAGGGGTTAGAAGGAACTCACCTCAAGACCCCACGGATAGGACAGGGACTTTTGATGACTCCAGATGCAAGAACCCATCCCCCCACCCACCCACACGGCAACCCAGGGCCCCTGCCCCTTCCTTGTAACCCCCTACATTGTAGGGCCTACAACATGGAGATAGGGGCTCCTACCCTCATTTTACTGGTGGGGCCTGGGGCAGGCGGACAGAGCAACGTGCGGTCCGGGCGCAGCCTTAGCCCAGGGCTCCCTGGCTCCACTTTGGAACAGCGTCTCAGGGCGCCCACGTGCAGGCAGAGCCAGGCACGACCACACCCCCAGCGGCTGCAGAGCTAGCCCAGGCCGCTCAGGGGCCAGAGGCCCCAGGGGCGACACCTCACCTTCACCCACAGCCCTAGCGATTCACGGT